TAGAGTTCAGCTGGAAACAGGAACCCTATGAAACCAGGTCAGACTGCCCTACCAAGCAGCACTGCCCCAGGACTGTGAGAAATATAACAAAATCAAGCTTTTCAGAGTAGCAAAACTTCAGTCTATTAGGAATTCAAGCCTCCTAAATCAATTCAGTTACACATAAGAACTCGCAATGCCCCTATGGATCGTTCCATCCAGATAAGCTGAGGGATTCAGCATGGATGTGTTGAGTTCTGAAGAAATATGTACTTTAAATGCTCAGAACCTAGGAACATGCTGTAGCTGACAGAACATTACGCTGCAGAGCTGGTAACATAAGTTCACACTGAGTTCATTTGTTGGCATGAATATACACACCAAAGTACCTGAACACCTAAAGAGGAATTTGTATTGTGGCATAGAGAGACCCTGATAAATAGGTATTAAGCTCAGCACATAATTCATTTATTTTTGTTTATTTTAATAAGTCCAGTACCTTGTGTACTGGTTGGAAACCTTAAAAAACCATGAAGCTGCAAACCCACTGGGACTGAATTAGACGGTACGAAGAAAAAAAGTAGCCACTGAAATACAACACATTTTCCATCAACAGTACATTCTAAGGCACCTGTATTACTGATTCAGGGCAAAATGGCCATTTAGTGTCCAGAGTCCATTCGATCACTGGACACAAAAGATAACAAGACAGATTTATTTATATTATTAAACCCAGTCTTCTGAAGGAATAAGCTCAGCTATCAATGACCTACTTCTCAGCTAGAATCAGAAAAGAAAAGCTTGTTTAGAAAGACTTAACTATTCTTTTCTTCAGCCCAGGGGGAATATTGAAATAGCAATTTCTGGATTCACTTTCAATATATGTGCAGAAATATCTTCTGTTTTGGCCCCAACTGTGATTTATTTTTCCCAGCACTCCTAAAACTTTACGCTGCATCAGCTGTCAGAGCCTTGCTCAGGATAATTACAAAAAGTGACTGCTTGCAAAGCCTCACTGAAATCTACAATTTCAAACACAGCAACAACTTTACCATTTATTTGGCTTTAACTGTTTCTAGAATGTCTGTTTCCACACAAACACTGACCTTGCATTAGCATCTTCATCTTTTCATCGCAACTAAAAGCTGCTATCTACACTGTGTAAGTGTTCGTTAGTAATGTAATGTTTTAAACAGCAAAATAAAGTTAATAAATCACCAGAGTTATCACATGAACCATTCCTTATTTGAGTGTTTCATTTCTTCTTAGCAAAGAAACACCAGAAGCGCAAAAATATGTTCTCAGCAAAAATATTTACAATCCAAGGATCTGGTACAAGTTTTGTTTGACTTTGTCCTGGTATTTTTTTGGATACCAGTCTGAACTTCAGTAAATTTTAGACATCAATTTGAGATTGTTACTCCAGCCAGTTCAACGCCATTTGCTACCTGACAGCACTCTTGGTGAGGCATTTGCTATAGGGTTATTATTCCAGATACAGTTTTTTTTTTACTGCAGCAGTGTCAAAAGAGCTCACAGCCAGTTTGTTCTGCAGTGCCCCAGCAGCATGCTGCAACAATCACAACACATAACCTGCACCTAGAACACAAGTAGCATAAAGATAGGAAAGCAAAAAAATATTTCTTGCACTTTTAATATCATAAGAACAAACTATGGAAACTTACAATAATAAAAAAGCAGAACATCAGGTGGAGTTTTAGTTTTTGTTTTTAAATTAATCTTACAAGAGGTCTTGAACAATTTCAAAAACTTACAAAACATATTCAAGCATGGAAAGTTACTTTACTGATAAAAGAGCATTTCTTTTTAATATGCTTTTCTCCAACCAGGATAAGGAAGCGTGTGCATATCAAAACCATCAGAACAACTCATTTTTCTCCATTTCAACAAACAGCACAAGTATTTTAAGTCAATTTAACTGTAGTAGACTAAAAGAACAAAGCAACAAAAACAGTGACTGATAAAGACAATACCAGGAATATACACAAACCAGAAGATCTATCAAGTCTTCAGTAGCCATGGTTTAGCATGTAGAAGTGCTCAGCTCTTCAGCTGGCTTTGTTTCACTGACATGAGTAACTTGGTATCAAACAGCAAAAAAAAAGGTACCATTAACTACTGTTTACAGTTTAGAGAATAAACATGTTCACTTACATGAACAGGCATCTGCCCATTGTAAATTTTGGCTATTACAGCAGAGTCAGCAACAGGGCACACCAAACCAGTCAGATGTTTTGTACTGAACAGAATAAATAGCATTTTTATGTTCTCTTCTGCCAATTTCAGCACCAAAGTTTTAACAAGCAGCACAGAGCTGCAGCATCCCTAACTTCTCCAGCTAGTATGGAAAAGATTTTTTGTTTGTGCCATTACTCAGTTGTAAAAGAACTGATTTAATCTAACAGCTACATTATCACTTAGTATGCTCCATTGAAATATTTTGTAAAACAGCATTTTCAGTTACAAAGAGCAACAGCTAATCATGGTAGTACTGAATCACCCAAAGTGACTCTCACTGAAGATGATGGAAAGAGGCAGTACACAATTAGCACTTCTCCCTTGGCTGAAGCAATTATGTTCTAACAAATTTCTCTCCAAAAATCCTTGTATGCATACCAAGTCCAATTCCAACTACACATTTTACTAAGAGTTTAAACTAGGTTTGTCCAGCTAGGCCAGTAAGGAGTAAGGAAGCTTCCTAAGTAATGTTCCAGGTAGTGGTGGCTTTTTTTGTTTGTCTGTTTTGTACTATTAATTGCATAAGCCAGATTTAAAAGCAGACTGCATTTGAATGGCATGAAAATAACTGAAAAGAATAACATGTGATTGAAACATTGCCTCATATATTCTCAGTCTCCCAATCTGCCTAGAAAAAGCTTAAAAACTGCTATAGAAATTATAACTCGAATAAAAATATCCAATAAATATTTATTCCCAGGACAGGCTTATCAGGTATAGATATAACTGTGTGTTCTGGTAACTGCCCTCAAAGTTCAACAAGCAAATGCTACAATTCCACCCATCATGACATTTCAAAAGTCAAAACCTGTTCTGCATATGCAAAGCAGATCTGTAGCACGACTTACATAATCAACAGCAAATTAAAAAAAACCAACCAGAAAAGCACACCACGCCAGTATTGCAGTTCAGCAATGCTGTATCAGTAACAGGTAAGTTTAGGGTTAAGTTTTCTTTTCAAACTTGTAGAAGAAACACAAATATATGAACCTGGCATATTCCATTAAGAACAAACTAATTAAATAGTGATCCTTTCCTCACTACATACAGAAATAACAATGTATTTTACAGTATTTACAGTTTTAAAAAATTCTGGACTTCTTGCATTGTTTTGCAGGAACTCATATTCTTCAGGCTGAAAAATAGTTACACAATAGTTCAGAACATAAACCAGCTTCTAAATAGAGACAGGTTCCTAACTCTAACTTACTGATATAAAGACTAGAGTGCCTTAAAAGGAAATAAACCCACCCATTTCACCTAAACATCCCACTATTTGTGGAATACCTTAAATATTTGTATATTGCAAGTTACAGATGTTTTACACAAGTAAAATTGAAAAGAAAATTGCTCATTTTCACAGTTTTCCCCAATTTAAGTCATAAAACCAAGTGAGCTGCAGTAGTAACTGCTTTTGTATTCAGGTTGCTGCTGTCACATGTATTAAGATCAGAGTTACAAGTTCCCCTCATGTATTTTCACTTACAAGCAAGTGTACTCTCATGTATATAGCTTTTTTTTTTTTTTACTCAGTTTAAAATAGAAATGTACCTGTTTGAAACAGCTGATATTCAGATTTAGTCTTAAGTTCCAAGTTAAGATGGACAGTCTTAACCTGCAGTCTTGAAAACTATTTTAAAGCAGCTGAAATCTTTAAACTGAAAATTTAAAGCAAGACACACAAAACCCCCAAGAATCAATAATTAAAGGCACTATTTAAAAAGAACATGAAAACTATAGTAAAAATCTGCATGACAGGAAGATGGTATTTGTGTTCAGAGCTGTTACTCTAAGTTGAAAATAATCAAAGCACCTGTTCTGAATAACAGTACTGAAGAGAAAAATTGAAGGCTTCACAGTAATAGACTTCCAGGGCTACTTTTGTACTACAATTGTTTCCTAAAAAGACAGTAGGGATTCAGAGCTTGCAGACTAAATATGGGAAAAACAGTCCAAACTTCATAGCAACAGAATAAAAAGTTTTAAAGCAAAACAGAAATTATATAACTGTTGTATTTCTTACACTGTAAGACTTCAAAGAAAAAAAAAAACAAACTTGAAGTCCTTCATACCTATGTCCCTATGTTCAAATTAATGTAAATTAACTACAACCAAAGACTGAGAAGGTCAAGCCCAAAGGAAATGCGTTGAGATTATTTAGTCCTTTTGTACGAGAGAAGGTAACATTAGTTTCCAATGGATTATCGGAGAGATCACACACTCGGGAGCTATGTTTGCTACTTTCACTAGCAGTAGAAATCATTGTCAAACCTTCCTACCGTCTTACAACCAGGAGTAGGTAGCTTTCAGAATTCTATCTACATGCCACAAGCATCTTCTTCAAAATAGGGAAAATGTTACTATAAAAATAGATCTTTTCAAGTAAAAAAAATTACACATTTGGTCAAAATTGTATAATTAAGAGGATTGTGTTCAAAACGTGGAGTTTCAGCATTACATACAAGAAGTCTGGAAGTGACAACAGAGCAGCATGTAAGGCATTTTAGGAAGTATTTCAACACAGCTCACTGCCCTCAGCATTTTATTAGGTTCAACTAACATGAGTAACCTCTCACATTTTAGGATTGTTTACTACTACACCCTTGGTCATTGGGACGAACGCCGAAACATCTGCAGACCTTCCGTAATGACAGATGCAACGTGAAGAGCGAGCGTTTCTCCTGCAGCGTGGAGAACGTCTGTCTGTACAGCTGACTTGAATGTGTTGAATCAGAGAGGTCACTTCCCGTAGCCAATCCTCACTAACTGGCCCAGTCCTGGAAGCGGAAACAGTCACTGGCGATCTTCCACACTGTGTTGGTAGGTGTGGCCTGTGCTGTGAGCAAGAAGTTCTGATTGAAGTAGCGTTGCTTGTCGCCGTCAAATTTTACTGTCCCACTTGTCACCACGAGGACTGTCGTCTGGCCTTGAGTAGCTTGTTCTTCACAAGGAGAGAAAGTATAATGAAACCAACTCAAAGACTAACAGGTAAAGAAGTAGGAAATGTACGTAGAAGTTTCATTCAATTCTGGATATACTACTTATAGGCTAACAATTGGTTACACATTCATGAAAAATATGGTTTTGTTGCATCATTTCTATACAGACAACGGTGTATTCACTCACCAACACTGCTTTTTAATGGCTTTTCTATTTTCATCTCATGTTGTTCATTTTAGAACACTACCAAACACCTGAGTTTTTGCTTAGAATAAGCTCTCATTATCTGAGACATGCATATATCTTTAGCAAGTTGCATACAATTTTTTCCCCAGCTGTTAGATATCTTTTTCATAGCAGAGCACAGCAAGCATGTTTGACCACAGACTTTTTCCTTACTTATATTCCCAAAATATCCATTAGAATAATTTATTAACTTCTCAATTATGTAAGACTTTCTTTAGCAGTTGTTAATCAGAAATCTAAATAAATTAACATCAATTCTAGATGTAAAGAAATCAACGTACATACAGGTTAACGATTTGTTCCACATTACACTGCAGGCCAGTATCAGAGGTTACAAGAGGTCTCTTGACTCTTACACCTTGTCAAGGACAACATAACCTGCTAAGCCAGACTTCTCCAATACATGAAAATACATCACATCTGAGTATGATCTTAACAAAGACAGTCCTTAAGATATTTTCCCAGACGTGAGAAAAAGTATGGAGTTGCTGCATCTCTCGACTTGTGCTTTATTTATGCATTTTCAACCCCCAGTATTTTCTCTAAGCTTTGACTTGTGCTTTATTTATGCACAACCTGACATTTTCAACCCCCAGTATTTTCTCTAAGCTTGTTCCAAAAGAAATATTAAGCACCATTATAACTGCAGTTCACTTTCACAAGTCATAGAAAGATGGAAAATTAAATAAGTAAATTGTAATACAACCTTACCATGAACGGGCTGGCAGTCCAACACATTAACCTGGAATTCACTTGATGGCAACATTTCAAAAAATTTAATCAGCTCTTCTTGCCCGGACACTGCGTTACCATTCCAAACTAACGTTGCTTTGTCCAAGTAGAGTCTTGTTAAAGCCTGCACGGTTATGAAAATACATATTTGAGGAAAATGTGTAAACATGTACAGTGGACAACATACAAAACAATATTCTTTGAATCTTTATGTTGTGAATTACCGATTTCTTCTGTTACTTTGATAAAAATAATTTACTCCGAAAATGCCCTCCTGGAACATTAGCTCCCTTTAACAATTAGTGCTCCTGACTAACAATTAAAACTAACTGTAACATATTCTGCTTTCTAAGTTGCATAGTGACTAATATGCCTCCAAATTTAAATACTGATGAGATTCCTTTAACAAAGCTAGTGATAGAACTGAACTAGTTGCCAACAAAAGGACAGTGCTACCTTTCCAGACTAATTTGTTGCTGATTTTTTTTTTTTTTTTTTGGGGGGGGGGGTTGGGGAGGGAGTGGTGTGTATATGCACAACACAGATTATATCAGGAAAGTATAATTTCAGGTTTTAAAAAGTGAACAAGACGAGGAACAGTGGAAACTTAAAAAGGACAGTTATCTGCAGCAGCAGACCAGAACTTCCCAAATACTTCATAAGCTGTAACAGCTGAGCAACTGCATAACTCTCCTTCAAGGTGCTGATACATCTCTGCATAACCTACTTATGGCACAAGGTGATTATGAAGTAACGTGCAACTGCTGATATTTCCACATAATCGAAAAGTTATTAAACTAATAATACATTTAAAATTCCAAAGAACAGTCCCCACAGCTCTCTCTTGGTGCAAACATCTGTTACATGATAGCACGTCAGTGTGGTCCATGAAGACTTTCAGAGCCAGATAGAGCTGCTTCCATTTTATCCTTGGGCACCCCTGAAGACTCCCAGAAACAGAAGTGCTAACTGCTTCCAAAGAATTTTGCAAAAAAGTAAACGAAATCCTGACCTCAGAGACAAATAAATCAAGTTTTATCTGCCTGTATTAACCAAATCCTGTATATGTAAAATACAGCTGGACATGAGCTGAACTATTATGATTATTATTATTTGACCTTGACAGGCTTGAGAGGTGG